AGACGTAACTCTTCATTGTGTATCTTCGTTCATGCATTTAACGGTTGATTTGAATATTATCAGTTCCGCGAACTACTCGCCGCAGCGCTGGCATCGGATCACTTTGACGTTTCTATATATTCTATAGAAATTTTATGCAATATTGTTTACGAGTTAGCGAGCAAGCTTGTTTTCCGCGAGAAGCCAGATAGATGTCGTTACTGAGGTTATATGTTTTGAGATACTATGTTTTCAAGAACAAGTGTTTCAAAGAGTTACGTCTGTTTGTCTGTGGTTCTATCATTGACTGATAACGGTCTTGCACAGATTGTACACTTCAGTAATTAAACCCGGTAGCAGGAGAAGTAAAATCAACACAGCAAAGGTCTATTGTTCAATTATTAAGGGCTCCTTGACATGCGAGTGGCTCCGCGATGTATCAGCGCACGTCAACCCATCTAATGCAGTGGTGATATTTAGCCGATTATTTGGCTGTCATTTTTCAGCAACGCAAAGGAAATGTTTGATCAAATTAATGCAATGCAGTTCAAAGCTTATGTTTGCGTATCCTGTTTGCATCCAGCAACTGACGTCAAAAAAAATCAGAAGCCCCGCGCTATCAATAAACAATCGAGGTTTAAACAAGATCAGTAAACAAATTTTATGACCAAACACTCCCCGCTGAAAGCGTCGTCGTGTTCTCTCTCTCTCTGCTGAAGTCCCGTTACATACACATTCACACACCCGAATGATAGTGTGCGTGCAATCAGGCGCCTCTGTCGTGGCCTTCCAGCAGCAGCTAGCTCCTGTTCTGTTTGTTGGCCAAAAAATCCAACACGCTCGCTCTCTCCGTTCGTTCCGTCAGTTCGCAGTTCGCAGTAGTGTTCAGGCTCAGTTTTGCTTCAGACCTACATCGCCAAGCAGTTGTTGTGTGCCTCGTGCGCTCTTCCTCTCTCGCTACACTTGGCTCGCCGCCGTGGTCATCCGTCGTTTATATTGTCCACCGTCGTCGTCGCGTTCCGCCACCGCCGCTACTGCTTCCCATTGTCGTCCAATAATAACGTTGAAAACACATTTCCTTTTCGGTCTGCAAATTCTAGACGTGCAAAATGAAGCAGCAAGCGTTCTGAAAAATGACGTTTCGTTCGGTGATCAGGTTGAAGTTTTCCAGTAAAACTTTATGATAAAATTCACCGCCACAGTATAGTCCGGGAAGTCATTATTTTTTCGTCAGGCAATCCGCTTTCGGGGGAGGAACACGCTGAATAGTGAGTGAGTGTAGTGATTGGCACAATAAAAATTTATTGCAATCCGAAGCGAGGAGTGCGTGCGTGAAGAGCAACACCGAAGTTTCCGAGGATTACCCACTGCTGCTGTACTGCTTTGATCTGCACTTTTAGTTGTTACAAAGGATCACACGGAAGAATAACCCATCAGGGAGGATCAGTCAGTCCGAAGAATCCATTGTGTGATAGTTGTTTCTGTTATTCGCTAAGTTGAGCCATTTTTTCCGACAAGTTTTAAATAGAAGAGTATCATTTTTTTCGGTGGAAATTCCGTAGAACGGAAGCGCTGCGCGCTGAGTACGGAAGAGTGAGCAAGAGGGAGGAATCGTACCCGTTTTTTTCGCACCGTTCTCGAACGCAATACACAAATCACCACGTAAGTGTTTACGGAATCAGCGATGAGGAATCTGGGTACGGGTGGTCTGGGGGAGGTGCTCTCTCCTGCTGCCATTCTTGCTCATCGCGTTTTTTTGCCTTGTTACAACTGAACTGGTGGAAAAAACGTCACCAGATGCGATTACTAGTTATTTACGCATTTTACAAATCTTGTGCCATATCTGCGACGACACATCATTCAACAGCAGCAGCTTTGCCGATAAAATTTAAGGTTATGGTCGCACACTCGGCTAGCTGGTTGGCTGGGTCGTTTGCCTTTCTTTTTTTTTTCCCGTGCTTGCGTGTAGCTTTTCTTGTGTGTTGCACCAACACAAAGATACATGGTAGCAAGCAGAATGCTATTTGGCGAGCGTGTGGGGTGATCGGCCAGGTAATGCTTCTTCGGCAACTTCGGCCAACGGAAATGCCGGTTGGCGGAGAAGACACCGCGGAGATCGCTGCCGTTTTCTGTTACGTGTCGAGACCGCGGAGTAAACAAAGAGCTGTCAAATCAGATAGCTGGCGTCTCGTCGTCGTCGTCGTCGTCATCATCGTCAGAGTGGCACGTCGTATGCACTGGGTTGGAGAAACTTGGCAGACTGGAACATACCTTAGCAGCTCTGATTGTGTGAACTGAGTTACTGTCAGTCTTTTAATGACGAAAGTGAGGCAATGAACTTGGAATTATTAGTATAAAACTTACCTACCTTCATGGCCAATAACGTTAGATGGGAAAGATCCGTTATTTTTTGAGGAACCCTTTCGAGTAAGCTGCTCGATCCTGGTTTGATAAGTCAGCTACCATATGTAGAGCAATTTTATTGGAAAATACCCAAAAATTTAAACCTTGGATGTCATTCCACAAAAATCTGATCAACACTTGAAAGTTGCTGGTATATTTGTAATGCTACAAAAACGAAAACCTGTCAGTCATAAACTATACATCAGCTTGTGGAAAATAACAATTTGATTTGAACGTGTGAGACATTTTGTAAGGTAAACTAGAGGCGGCTATTGTTGATGGTGTTATCTAGAAATTAATCGGCTTTAGTATCTTATGTTGTTTATGAAACGGTTTTGAGAATAAATCATAAAGACGTATGGAGAAAGTGGACGCTGAAGGAAATGTAGAACAGTAACCAATTGAAGAAATATTAGAAATTCATGAATGTGATGAATTAATATGTAACTATATTGCTACGAATAATCATCAACTAGGATTGAATGTTCATAAATTATATGACGGCTAGTTACGGCTTCTGCCTAATATTAGTAGTTTCAATGCTCAACAATAACTAATGCATTACTATGTATGTTGGGACATTGCAACATCTGATTCATCACTAATTGAGTGTGAACACAGCAATCAAAGGGGACAGAGATTAATTAGTCTTTTGACGTATCGTAGCACGGAAAGATGCGTTTCGTATTTCATTCGAGGGTTCTTCCGGAAATCCGTGGCAATAGCATTCGAAGCTAGCTTAAGAGTGTCCCAAGTCATGGCCGCCGGGCCACGACAATGTCCTAAATCTGCTTGACAGCTCGTTACTAAAATCTATTTTTGTTTCAAAGATCTTGGTACTAATCTGCAGATAGAGATGCAATGATTTGAGTTGAATTTGATTCATATACTGAGTGTCTACTACCTCGGAAACTGGAAATCCTCAGGCAATTTTATTTTTACCTCGAATCCTCAGGAAACTACTCAAGGAATTTTGAAATTATTTTACTACGTTTTTTTTTAAGAAAAGGCATTTGATTGCGTTTATTGTCATAACAGATCCGACGCAGATTTATCTTCAGTAACAACATAAATTTTAAAAATTCAGAAGCTGAAACGAAGATAAATATTCATGCCGGAATAACTGTGAGGAAAACAGTGTAATGTGTAATCTGCTTTCAAGGTAGTTCTGAGGAACTCCAGATTCCTTGTGAAGCCCAAGAAAAATACCAAAGTAGTTCTGAGTATAATTTTAGGAAACCCTTGAATAGGATTCAAATGAAATTTTAAAGAAAACTCGAAGGAGTTTCTTAGGTTAACTCTTGTGAAATTCTTAGAAAATTTTGAAGAGAATTCTGAGGATTATTTCTTGATATATCTGAGGAGAGGCAATTCAGCGGAGAAAACCAAAAGATTTCAAGAAGTTTCTGGTAGAAAAAGAATCCGAAGCATAATGCCATGCGAGTTTGCGATGAATACTGAGGAGGTATGCTCAGGAGAATTACAATTAAATCCGCAAATAATTCCAGGAGAACTTCAAAGAATTCGTAGAAGAATTTCAAGAGAGTCAAACTAATTTTGAGTAAAATTCTAAGGGATTTGTGAGGAGTAGACACCCCAAAATATATGTCGATCGAATCGGAAAGCTAATCAACACACAAGAGTTTCTTAATTCTTTGCGACGCAGTGTTTTGTGAGCCAATTTTTTCTTCAAACTTCGAAATCCAGATAACGAATCCGATGAGTTTTTTTTTCAATGAAGCATCCCTTATAAATAATTGCAAAAGAATTGCACTATCGATTGCAGATTCATTAATTTCAAGATTTCTGAAGAATTATAAAAATAATTTAAGGATCATTCCACTAACGGTTTGTGGGTCAATTAATTTAGATTTAAATCAATGAAAATTGCAAAGCAATTGGGGGAAGTTTTTGAAGTTAGTCGTATAGCTAAAAATCTAATGCGTTTTCAACAAATACAAGTTGAGACAATCCTATTTACATAAAGCACATATGTACATTCATTTTGTAATCAGCTTCATTTGGTTATCCTTCCAACTTAATTTGAAACAAATTTTACTAAACCTGCCAATTTAACACGTTTATTCGATCATTTTTGACAATGGTAAATCTCTTTTAAGTGAGCGAAATTCGTTTGCAATTGGCAAAAAAAAAATCCTCCATTCCTAGGCCACACCATTCGCGTACTTTCCTGTTTACACAATTGATTCTCAGTTGCATCATCCAATCTACCGATCCACGGCTAAACCAATCCGATCTTCAAGTGTAACGCTGAATAAATTTATCGAATTGTGATTTTTTTTTCGCTCGCTCGCTACCATCGAAACAATCTGCTCCAAATGCTTCCAAGAACTGCGATCCGTGTGTGTATGTGTGCCCATACAGGTGCTCAACGATTGTCAACGCCACAAACTGTGTCACAAACTCAACACCAGCCGATGCGGCGTGAAAGTGCTTCGATATCACAGATTTTCAGGTCACAAACGGTTAACCACCACCACCGACCAACCTCCAGACTCGCAAAAGTGCAAACCACGTTTCCTAATTTCTTGCGATTGAAAAAAAGTGCAACCGATTCTAATGCTTCCAAAAACAAAATTCCTCCTTCCCATTTACAGAACTGCCGGTTACTAGATAATTCACCATGGAGGACGGCCATAGCAAGACCGTCGAAGAAGTGCTTAGTCACTACCGAGTGGATCAAGAACGGGGTCTGAGCTTGGATCAGGTCAAGGAATATCAGAAGAAGTGGGGTCCCAACGGTAAGTACACGATTTTTCTTTTTCGTCATCAAGTTCAGGAAACTCGCCTCCTATCAGCAGCAAGCAGACCATTGTGGTGACTCACTACCACCTTGCCGTGCGCACTGTTTCAGTCGCTTCAACATACCCTACGTGGTACATAAGTCGGCCTGGCCCGGACACGTCTTTCGGTGGTGCTTGAACGCGCACCACTCCGATTTACGTCATTCGTAGTCGGTTTCGCTCTAGAGCAGTCAGTGTCTCGGATTACAAACCGGGTTCCAACACTACCACTACTACCAGCTACTATACTCATACTATTACCGACACTGTTGCGTTTCATTTCACTAGTCTCGCTTGCTGCGTGGTTCATGATCATGATCGCGCAAAGCTACCTACCCAACTAGAGCTAGACAATCGACAGAGAGGTGCGCAGAAAGCTATAGTTTCTACCCACCACACGTGAGCACTTAGGATCGCGCTGGTCGCGTGAATCTGCCCCTAGCAACTTATCATCAAATATTCCTTTAAAACAACGTTCCAACAGAGTTTCGTTCTATTCCGCGAGATTGCTCTCTATAATTAATTCGCTTACATTGCTTTGTTCGTCTAGCTCGCGCTAATTTGTTGCAGGCACGAACGTAGTCCAAAAATTAACGTTCCCAATTATTGGCGAACCGCTTCTACTACTAGTCAGGACGAGCGCCCTTCCTGCTGTACGTCCGTATCAGACGCGTGCAGGACGAAAATTCAATTTCTACTCTAATGAAGTCGCAAATGCCTACCACCCACGCGACGTACGCATTTCCACCTTCTTCGGTTTGGTGCGTGAACAACGCTCGCAGCCGACGACGACCGTGCTTTATCGCACACGGCTCCAAATTTTGCGAAGGTCGTGAACAACGCCACCGCGCTTCGAACCGAGCATTGGGCAAAGTAAACAAAACAGTCTCGGAACTCTGTGTCTCTCCTCGCCAGAGCACGCAGCTGTTCCGTGCACCGTTTACCAGAACGGGCGAAGTGCAGCAGCTCTTTAATCTAGCGTTAAATATGCATATTTCTAGCTCGGTCGGTCTTGTCCCTGTGCGCTAGAGGTAGTAATAGTTGTAGTAGTAGTAGTAGTACATACTAGTACTAGAGAGGAAAGAGTTGCCACCGCTGTCTGTCGTCTCGGGCTTGTCATAACTTAATTAATAACTTTCTTCACGCTGGTGTTGCAATATCAACCCGCTCGAATGTCTTTCCAGTCGACACGACGGAACGGTAATGTCCACCGATCTGTGCCTGAACGTAAACGTAATCCCATCAGTGTCAAGCAAATTTAGTCCCCTTCCCGACTAGAAAGCTATTTTTAAGAACTTTATTTATTTATTTATAGCAAGTAGCAGAGAATGGGAAAATCAGGTTTCTCTGGGTCAAGATTTAGGGCTTTCCGAGTTCGAGTGCAAATTACTACGAAAAGTCACGTAGAATGTTCATTTATTGCTGTGGGTCACGCTAGCCCGTAGTGGTCAGTAACTTCCATCGACAGTAGGCGGTAGTAATTTGGTTCACTTCGATGTTTATTGCCAAGGCTAACTGCTGTGTTTTATGATTGATTTGGACTCCACCCCTGCCCCAACAGAGCGCTGAGGGAAGAATTAGCGGGAAATTTGTTAACTATAGAATACGTTTCTTTTCCTTTCTGTGTAAGGCTGTCAGTTTGTTGTTCATTGTTTTTAAACTTATACACATTGAGGCATAATCTGACAGCATTTGTGTTTGTAAGATGGTACGGTGTTTACATTTCCTGTTTTAAATTGACTTTAACTGACAGCATTTCAGAAAGGTCAACATGTGTCGAAAGTTTTATGCTGGTACTCTTCAAGCAAAGCTAAATTTAGTTTACAAACTTCACATGGACAATATCTGTACAATGTTTTCTTAAATTGGATTAATTCGATCCGATGTCAGGCACCATTTGATAGACATTCTACTCAGAACAGGAAATGGAATAAAATTTTGCTTAAAATATGTCACCATCAGGCATATTGATAATAGATTACGACATGCTGTCAGTTAAGTTAATTTTTATTTATTGTGGAGGCTTTCAGCCTGAGACTGGTTCGCCTCCGGATATGCTGTCAGTTTTAATCTTGCAACTATAATGCCGTTGAAAATAACTCAAAATTGCATTTAAATTTTACTTTTATAAGTTTGTCTACTCAGTTTCCACCATTTTGTGAGTACCGTGACTACTTGATATGTTGTCTTGGGTAAAATTTACGAAGATTTTGTGTGCATGCAGAAAACCGAAAAAAATCTTGATTCTAACGAAGTAAAGACATTTCTTGAAAAGAAAATATATTTGGTACAGTTTCTTTGTTTTTTTTTTTTGCGGCGCAGGCATACCAAATATTTGTTTTGTTATCGCTTCCTAAATCGATATCTTTGGGGAAAAAAAATATAAAATCTCCATACATTATTTTTTCGGTTAACTTTACGCCTCTCAGAAAGTGGCACTATGCTGTCAGTAGTCGTGAAATCGAAACTGAAAGCATATGATATAATTTCCTAATCACAAGCAAGCTTGTATTTTGCTAGTATTCGATAACGTTGTTCTATCATAACTGACAGCATTATATTCCATAAAAAATTCTGAACAACCTATTCCAATAACTATTCTATCGTAGTGTATGTTGTCGTTAATGGTGGATGGTCTATCAGTTTTTATCGCACTACTACTGACAGCCACACTCTCTAGGGGTATAGAAAAAGGTCTAATTTTTAATTTTTCAACAAGCATCACAAAATTACTCTAAATAATGCATTATAATAAGCATCAGAAATTCACCCTTACAAAAGCATTGAAGTAATAATCAGCTTCTTAAAATGCTTTGAATTTATACTTGTGCTATCTCATGCCTCCACGGGAGTAGACCTGTGCGCCGGTCAGTTCATCGGCGGTGTCGCGGTATGAATCAGCCATTTTGGTGGCCAAAACATATCACATTTTAAACTTGATTTCAAGTAAGGTAACAAAAATATTGTGTTGGTGTTTGTGACATGTTATCGACAACGCCATTTGAAATTTGCTACCGACCCACCATCGTATCTTTTCGGAACAGGATCGAAATTATTTCTTAAGTTAGAGTGGATCTTAGAATTTCGTGACAATTGGTAATTTTGTTCCTTGTCGAAAAATATTAGATCCGTTTTTTATCCCTTCTTTAGGGGGCCTCTTCCATGTTAGGGTGGTCAAAAAAATTAAAATTTTCTTATTTAATTTTTTTTTAAAACCATAACTGGCATCAATAGTGGATTGTACTAAAATTGATAATTTTACTCTCTCACAACTACTGACAACATTGTTCTTTGCTACAAGTAGTGGTGGTATCAAAACTGACAATATTCCATGATTCATTCAGAAAATTGACTTACTTAAAGACAATGTGTAATGAACCATGATATACTGGATTGTGTGTGCTACATTACCCCGAATATCACTTCCCCGAACGCGCCATAATCACGAGTTCCATTGTCACGAATGTGAAAAGTACATGCAGCAATCATATACCCAAAAAATTTATCACATATCTAATGGATGAAAACCATGTGAAAAAAGTAGAAGGGTCTGTGCCTAGGGGCATGAACGGAAGCTTGACGTAGGACCGCTAGTGAACGGAATAAATGTGAAGAGCATTTAGTTATTTTAATTGATCAATTATCTATTATCTCAACTCTTTCCGTTTTTGAATTGAAGGCGTACCAAATTTGTAGTAATCATTTTTAAAAGAGAAAGTTTATTAAGAGAATCAATCAATATCACATACACCCCTGCTTCCATGTTTGATTACAACTCTGTAGAGATCAGACCGGAGATACGTTTGACACCACCACGGCGAGCCAGACAACCGATGGCGGTTATCTCGAAGAACTTTGCGATGACGCTTGGCGCCTCCTTTACCAGACCTTTTCCTCCTTTGCCACGACCAGTCAATTGTTGCTTGTTAGGTGTGAAGGAGTGGACTAGCCACCTTCCTACTACTGCTGCTATTGCTGTTCACCACGCTGTCCGAAGCGAAAATGACATACAGCAGCGCTCTTTTATATCTTTTCAGGTTAAAGCAGAATGATATGCAACCAAGTGGTATAAAAGCTACAAAGACTCCTCCCATTATGAGTAGTTTGCTATCGAGTAGCGACACTGGCTCTTTTCCTTTTGAGTACACGGCGAATGAGAACGACCCAAATTTGAGTTTAGTTCACTCATAATCGCCAAAAGTGCAGGAGCTCAGCGTTGAGTAAATTTGTTTCATGGTTTCCTGTAGAAAACCTAAAAAATCTGCCAGAAAATGAGGAAGGTTGATCAAAATAATGTGTACCCCTGCTTCCAGTTTGATTACATGAGCATTTTGTGTGACCGTTGGTTCTGAATATGGACAAACAGGCAGATGAATTCAATTCCTACTCTTTACTGTAATAAGCTTGGTGGCCCTGAAAAGAGCCGGATTGTTGCCAAAGTTGGTGATGATTTAACCTCTGAAACCAAACAGAGTGCGTCTCTGCCACTTCAAAACGTAGATGATATCCATGGCCGCTTACGCTTGGCGTGTTTAGTGTAGGTGACAGCATCACGGATCTAATTTTTCAGGAGCACCTTCAGCACACCTCGTAAATCAGACCGGAGATACGTCAGACACCTCCACGGCGAGCCAGACGACGGATGGTGGTTATCTCGAAGAATTTGCGTTTGGTTCTGAATATGGCGATGAATGTGCAAAATATTACGCAATTCCATCCTCCCTATTCGCACGCGTCCGAGGACCGGAGGCGAATGCCACTTCGACTTGTTTCGTCTACTTACTACTCTCTGACGACTGTGCTGGGGAAGCAGCATATGCATGTAGGTAATTGGTGGATTTGTTAGTTAATTCGACGCTTTTGGACAATGCTGGACATTTACCAGTTTTTCAATAGTTTCTCGATGAAAATCAACATTCGGAAGCATTGTTATGCAATGAGTTGTCATATTTCTGATC